TCAGGCCTACAGCCATGTGTCCTTCTGCAGGAGATGGAGTTTACACTGAAAAGGTCAGAGGTGTTTGACAGCATTGTTTTCTAAATCCTCCAGCGCTCAAACATAGCGTAGGTAATATCAGCTATGGTTTACTGCTAGACTCATCATCACTGCATTTTGCTAGGAAAAAAACAAACAAAAATAATGGTACCATGGAGGTTTGCTCATATTACATGTTGAAAATGTACCATAATGATCCACGGGGGGCATAGATTATAACTATAAAGAAGACAAAAGCTGAATATGTGTATTAAAGTGTAAGGACATCCAAGCTCCACAGAGAAAATGTCTTTTGCCTAATTCAGAAATCCAACCCACAACCTCTGTAGGGTACTCAAAAGTATCTAAATCAGATACTAAACCTAGTATAGAAGCTACATATCCATTGAAGAAAGTATCAGTACTGAAAAAAAATCACATAACTGAATAAAATTTGACCTTTCCTGAACAGTTTAAACTTGAATTTGATTAAAACTACTGTAAGACCACATGGTGAAAGAAACAAATACTATTACTTTGTGATCAAAATTACAATCATCATCTGGGTATCAAAATCAGTATCAAGTATAGAGCGTATTCTTTAGTATTGAAATCAAGTTTGACTAGTGCATGGACGTGATACTGGTGTTGGATATCAGCATCGATACTGACAGTTTTTTGGGGAATTGGATATCGATTCCAAGATATCAGTTCAGTCGATATCCCATTTTTCACTATTTACTGGCCATTGTTGGCAGAAAAAACGATCGAGGCATCTCTAATCAAAACAACACAAAACTTGAGAAATCTTAACAACGAGTGAAATTTGTCCCAGAAACGTTGCATGGACTGTTCACGTAAACAAGGCTCTGATGTGACTTGCAACACCATGGAACATATACAGGCCCTCTGAGATACACAGAGAGGCACTTGTTTCCACACAAAAGCTATCAAAACTACAACTCCTCCTGCTAACATGCATTGATGTTTTATTCAGCAGCTGTCCTCCTTCTATTTTTACACAGAGGGGCAAAAGCAGAGCAGTGAAATGCAGGTGAGTGGCAGTTTGGCCCTGCTCAGTCCATTAGCCCCGAGCAGAAGCAGCCAGGCGGGGAATACAGAGGAGAGGAGCCCCCTGTCTAATTTACCACACGTTAAATTCAGAGTGCGCTTCACTCAAGAGAGCCATCAAAGTATTCTGCCCCACAAACCCTCAACACGGCAAGGGAATACATAAGAAATCTACCCTGAGAATCAAACCACCAGTTTAACGTTTTAACATTGAGGGATAACAACACAGTTAATGTGGACTTCAACCTGACAACTTCATTAAAAACAAACCCAGAGTCGTGTTTTGTCATGAAGCAGTAGTTTTCAAGTTAACAGCTCCCTTTTACTTCTTAGGTTCTTTTTAAAGACAATGCAGTAAAGTGTATTTACCTTGTTGACATGTTTTCGGCTGCTAGCTGCAAGCCATCTTCAGAACTGTCACCGGTGTTGGTGGTGACGTGTCAGTTGTTGTTACTTCCTGTAGGCGTGGTCAGCCTGATGGACCTGGCAGGTCGCTCAGACTGACCACGCCTCCCGTCGCCCGGTGTTCTTTGGAGGAGGGTGTCCCAGGTGTGTGAAAGGAGGAACTCTCCGTCATCACGGGTTAATGCTGTCCGTGCCTCGTTTCCTGATTTCAATTGCCTCCTTGATCACATCCGAAAAAAGGAACACCAAAAGGAATGCGAAAAGGAAACGTCAGGGAGACTCACCAGAACACAAAAAAATAAAGCAGAACAGGAAAACCTAAAATCCGCCATATCAGACCACTGTAAAAGGAACAACCACATTATGGATTGGGACGGGGCTCGGGTCATCGGATCGGAAAACAACAAGCTCAAACGCTGGATCAAGGAGGCCATTGAAATCAGGAAACGAGGCACGGACAGCATTAACTGTGATGATGGAGCGTTCCTCCTTTCACACACCTGGGACACCCTCCTCCAAAGAACACCGGGCGACGGGAGGCGTGGTCAGTCTGAGCGACCTGCCAGGTTCATCAGGCTGACCACGCCTACAGGAAGTAACAACAGCTGATATACGACACGTCACCACCAACACCGGTGACAGTTCTGAAGATGGCTTGCAGCTAGCAGCCGAAACATGTCAACAAGGTAAATACACTTTACTGCATTGTCTTTAAAAAGAACCTAAGAAGTTAAAGTATATAAGAAGACAAAAGGAACATCATTGGCTTAACAGCTCCCTTTTACTTTTTGGTCAGAAGAAAATTCCAGGACTGAAATTATCCAAATTATTATGGTGAAAGTGTATGGAGTTTAAAAACACAGTGGAGCCCATAACTTTACAATATAGATCAGAAAATAGCGTAATATGAGCCCTTTGAAACATGAAAATCTACTCATTCGCTATTTAATGAACAGATTAATACTTAATACTGAAGAATTACCATTACATAAAATCAGAGTGGGAGAGAGTTCTAATGGGGGTACTCAAGAAAGGCTGGAAACCGTTGCCTCAAATCACTTCCTTCAAAGATACTGCGGATAAAAAAATCATAAAGGAGCCGAAATTATCTAAGGTGTTTCATTTAAATGGTTGGAAAATGGAAACAGCTCTTCTGTTCTGTCAGATGAGACTAAATGTGAAAAACACACGTTGTCTGAGTGAAGTTAAGAGGATCATTATTATGTTCATGTCTCTATCTGTCTATCTACAGTCTCAAAGCTGTAGAGAGATTTTGTACTAGCTCAGTAACCTCTAGCTGGCTTCACAGTTTCTGATTTCCAATTCAACCAAATGCATTTTCCATGAGCAATTTTGAATAATTTGTAGGAATTTGTTCATAGAGTGTAGACAAGAAAGACTTTTAACATAAACTTCATCTGTACAGTCAGTAATTCCCACAGAAACAATTTTTCATCCTCAAAGATTGCAAGCATCACATAAAAAATTAATACAATAAAAGCTTAAAAACTAAAACAAAAAAACAAGATCTGGTAACAGTTAATCACTGTTCTGTATCACTACGCTGTGAGCTTCACCGTAGCAGTGAGTAAACAAATGAACTACTGTAAGGAGTCACTAATTTCAACTAAAAATAACTAAAAATAAATAGATATAAAAACTAGGAATAACTAGTTTGAACATTCATGGACAGCTAAAAGGTTGTCAGATTATAGTATAAACAAATTACTACTACTTTATATATACTATAATGCTTCCTATTTGTAACTACCTGTGTTTTTCGTAGTAAAAAGACTAGATTTATCATGATACAGTAGTGGGAGATTACACCTCCTCCATTCATAAATCCTCTGTAACTCCACATATCTCGCTGAGGGCTTGACCTTGCCTTTTTCTGCCCGCTTCATACCATGTTCCCTGGTCTGCTATCCATCTTACTACTGTCCCATCAGCCACCTCTGCTCTGGGCTATGGGCTTTCTAATTAAACCATAGAGGCAGCAGACTCGGCACCGCGACGGAGGAGCCCTATCAAAGAAATGGACCCGGGGCCAGACTTCAAACCCTGTGTAAAGTCAGTGTAACATGGCGTTTTTGGTTTAATGAGAGGAAGCTATTAAAGTGCTGGCTCACACTGCTTACTTCAGCTCTGACAGGGATGATGAGGGCCAATGGGAGGGCTTCACACTGGGGTTAACAGCGTGTGGAAGGCTGGTAATACAGAGGCAGTGTTTACAAGAGGCAGGGGTGACAGAAAAGCAAAGAAATGTAGAGAAATATAGGTTAAAGTAACAGGAGATATGTGAGAAAATGTGTGATGTATAAAGTCACATTTCAGCTGGTTTCTGAAAGTGTCTCTACCGCCGACAGTGAACCATATCGGCCTATGTGAGGGCTTGTAGCTCTTCCAAGCAGTGTGGCTCTTTTTGTTTAACATATTTTTGTGAGATTTGCCTTGTGATTAAAAAGTATAATTCAGAAAACATTAGCTTTAAGTTTACATCGGAGAAAAAGTTCAGTTTATGGTTTATTTTGTAGTGGTAGTAGTAGTAGGTATGTAACAATAACCAAAATATTGTGATATCGTATCGTCAAAGTTATCACAATAATTATATCGTGCACCACCACAATATACTGAATTACAAGTCTCTTTGCTTAAATTTAAAAAGAGTTATTGTGCAGCAATGGCTAAGAAAGACAGAGGGAACTACATAGACCATGATCCTTTGCTCCATTTCAGTGTGTAGACCACATAAAGAAATAACAGTTCTAAGCACTTTTAAGTCTTAGTTCTTTGGATTACGTCTTGTCAAGGCATTTTAAGAGGAAAAAGTCGCATATTAACAGTTTTAGCTGTGTAGCCTCCACAAAATATCGCAATTAATACCATACCATGAGATGTATATCGTGAAAATATCGTACTGAGAGATTTGGATATTGTTACATCCCCAATCGTGAGCCTCCCTGCCTTATTGTGAGCTTTCCCATATCACAATAACTATCGTATCATGAGGTTCATGCCATGACGATATTGTATTGTGAGATTTGGATATTGTTACACCCCTAAGTAGTTATATGAGCACTGAACAAGGTGATATCCATTAATAAAATATCACACACTTGAAATAAAACTACAAGATGGTGACTCCTCTTGTCACCTCAACCCTGTCTCCACCACAGCAGCAGAACATTTAGCCTCCTCAGCCTCTCAAATGTTTTCTTCTTCATAATCACCAGTGTTTAGGTCATAGGAGACATACAGTATATGGTATATTTCAATCAAGTCCATTATAATCCCCTACATCACATTGGTGCCAGGGTTTTATCACCAAAAAATATCTGTACATGATCCCACCCCAAGTGTTTGTCTTGTTCCAGTTGAATTAATTAACCATATAATATCTATTGACATTTAAGGAGTACTTTGAGTGTTATATTGGAGTACGTCTTCAACCTCATTCCGTAAAAGAATACAAATAAATAATAATAAAACACAGTTGTCCTCACCTTTCCAAAATCCCTCACGTCGAAGAGGTCAAACGCCTCAAACAGCTCACTCTTCTTCATCCCAAAGGTGTCACTGCAGGAGGCCAGGAAGGTACGGATGTTCTTCAGGCAAAGAAACTGTGGACAATAGAAAACAGTCAGTATCACATAAAACATGAGAACTAAAGTTAAAGCACAACATATTTCTACCGAGAAATACTGTGATAAATGATAATAATGAAACCACTTTATGCCACTGACGCAATAACCGTAACGCAGGACAATTCCAGTAAATAACAGAATGATTAGCCACAGAAGCAACTTATTTAAAGGTGTATTGTGTAACTTTTCTGGTGGAGGGTTCATCAAATGCTTTTCTCCATGGAGATACTGTATTATTGCTTTGTCTGGGATGTTTCACAGAATGCTATCTTCATGAAGACCAAACCAGACCAAGTTACAGGTCAGATCTGTGGAGAGGCAACCCTGCTCACAGCCAGAATACCTGTTTTTCTAGGTACTGAACTATAAAAGCACCTGTAATTTAATAAATATAAGGTAGAGCTGTTTAATCTCATACTGTGGAACATTCCAGTGAAGGACCCCAAACTAAAAAGTTACACTGTGCACCTTTAAACTTTTACAGCTTAAATGTTATTATATTAGGACAGAAATACCCCAAATCTCCACACTACTGAAAATAAATTGTACACACGATGCATTTTGAGCCCAAAAACATATCGTTTCAGCTTTTATGTATTGAATGATAAGTTGAAATAGTAGTAATTATTGTGATTATTGTGTAGCTTAATATTACATCAGTTTATCAGATGGTAGTTAAAGGATTTTGGATCATTATTTGGACAGTGCACTGAATTGTTGCTGTCTGTGGTAAGCATTAAACATAGAGGGGTTGTAAATATGACACTTTGAATGCGACATAAAATAATTAGCTTATCGTTAAGACTATTTATACATGTGTACTCATTTAATGGAAAAAAGGAAGTGTATTATTTGGAAAAGAGGAAAGTTATTAATATAATGCTAGAACAAAACAATGCCATAACACACAATCATAAACTTTCCCAATGCATGACTCACAAATGGCAGTTAAAAATGTCTAACATTAAAACCAAACTCACTGGGGTTCATAATAATAACAACAGAAGTCCTAATTTGGTATGAGGGGAGATATCATATGTCATATTTTATCATTGTCATCCTCAACAAAGATAGACTAAACAAGCAACTGCAGTTCCCTTAAAGGTCATATATTAAGCCAGACCTGGAGCTGTGTTTTGTTTCATTCACACATGTCTGAGTAACCCTTTATTATTAGTTTGTTTACATCTCCAAAGCTCAAAATGCTCTGTTCTGTTCCACCTTTTGATGTCATAAAGCTGTAGTTTTCAAGTTCACAGCTATTTTTTACATTTTCTTCAGTATAGAAATTGGCAATTCCAGGGCTGATCCAAATCATTCTAGTGAAAAAGAGAGAAGATCGCAGCCTAAATATGCAGGGTTTGTGTGTGTTAAGCATGTGTGAATGAAACAAAACACAACTTCAGGTATTTTTGTGATGAGGAAACAGCATTACAGATCAGAAAATATCTTAATATATATATGAGACCTTTCAAGGGACACTCTACATTTTAGTAGCCTGACTCATCAGCCGGTTTGACTTTGTGGAAAGTGTTAGAACTGGTATATTAAGCTTTTCCCAAATCCTGTAGGAAGAAGGGCAATAATGTCTTTCCACTTGATAAAATTCACGAAACATTCTCCATTCTCTTTGTTCCGGCTTTAAATCCTCGATCTCGGGAATTTGCCAACACAGAATGTCTAGCTTTTGGCTTACTGGCTGGTGCCCGAACTCACACTTCCGGGGTTCTTGCAAACTGTGTAGTGTATTCCGATTTCTGACGTAGTCGCTGGAGAGAAATGAAATTGAGCGGAGGCACAAACATTTTAGACCTTCCACCACAAAACTTACACAGTGTGGCTTTAATTATCGCTGTTACTTCACTTATAGCACATTATCTAAATCCATGCAGTTCCTCCCATTTCCGAAAAACCCTGTGTAATCTCTGTTCACTGCTGAGTGGCTCCACTGCCTGCTGTGTCCTTGTAGTTTTTACAGTGTTGTGTAATGAGGACACTGCTAATGATACTGTGGAATATGCTGCTCTAAAAGATACATGAACCCCTGTTTATAGCTACCGTGAGAGCTTTCATTAATACTGACTACATCCTGTTGAAATGTCCCAATGTGAGGCTTTAATTAGCAACAATGAGGCTGCACAGAGGTCCCCAAAGTGAGCGGTGATAATGCATTGAGGAAAACAGTGAAATCAAATGGACTCTCTCACGTTTGTAGGTTTTTCACATCTGGTTTTGAATTATTGAGCAATTTTGCAACTCAGTGCCAGCGCGATAAGTTATGCCCTCTTATCTCCATGACGACTGATGGATCTACATAGTCACGAGTTGGATTCAAAGAAGCCTTGTCTAAAATGACACTTGAAGAGTTAATTTACCATAGACAAGCACAATTCATATTTATTATTCACTAAAATATAATTGGCTGTTAAAATTGCTATGCCAAGAGTGATATAATAGTATAATAAAAAGTAATAAATAATTAAAATAACATGTGCTTAGTACATATTGCCAGGTTTCTCTCTCAATTTGCTGCTTTCCCCAATTGACATCACACTGTATGTATCTCTATTGGTGGAATGTTCAGTAGTTACCATGGTGACACAATGCACACATTAGCAAACACTGACTAAAAAAAAAAAAACGAAATGAACATATTGAGAGAGCCTGTGATCAGCCAAGTTGCTCCAAATAAGAAGTAAAAGAATCAAAATCACAAAGCAAATTGCATTATTCTGAGTTAGAACAATACCTATTTTGATGTACAGTATATTAATGACCTTTTTAATCACTGTCTGTACCTAATGCATTTATGTAACAGCACCACCATGCAAATAACGAGATGACAAAGGTGAAAAACTGGCTTTGTCGACAGATTTTATCATACGGGGTAATTACATGAAGCAGCACTGGAGAAAACGGTATCCAATAATCAATATGGACTCCCAAGTTAATAAACAAGAACACAACACAGACTCTACACACACTCCTGTCTCCTCTGTAAACTAAATCAAAGAAAGAATCAAACTATTTATCTATGTTATGAACTTAAGTTGTGATTTAATGGGGCTGTACAAGATTATTTTTGCATATTAAAGTAATATTTCTTTTATCCCCAGTACAGATACATTGCTTTAGGATTAGATAAAGCTCATATAGGATACAAATTACACCACTGTCGGCATAAAAAGCATTCCTATCCTCCAAGAACTACTAAGTGCACTGTTAGCATGCTAGTTGTTGTTGGCATTAATGTGGCTAAAAAAAACTCTCTACTCTGGCCAATGAAACTTCTGGTTATAAATTTGTGGTGAAAATATAGATGGTTCAAATGTGTTTGGAAAGTCAGGAATAAGTTTATAGCTTAAAATGTTCATGTTTTTAAATAAGGAAGGTCGACTGCGGCTTAAAGGTGCCCTGTGTAACTTTTCCCTGTGTAACACTCCACTAGAAAAGTTACACAATGCACCTTTAAGGAACCCAATGTCCATAATTAGACAATATAATGGCAATCAATAAGAAATGTGCTGAAAATATTCACATTTCTGAATAAGTTTTTTGTGGATTTTTGAAATTCATTTTTAAACGATGACTAAACAATACTATAATTTTACAAATCCTGAAAACAATCACCATATAATGTCATCATTTTTTTAAAACCTCTCCCATCTCCGCTACTAAACATGCAGGATACAATATTCCTTTTGCTGTGGTGGCAAAGTTCACAGCTAAAAGGAAAGCCTGTGACACACATTGTTTTCCTGTGGTTTGTCCGAAAGGAAGGAGCCAAGGAATGGTGCTGAAATAAATATCTCAGGAAGTTGGTTTTGACGCATTATTGGGATCATCTCCAGCAAATGATGCCATCGACGTGAATCCACTTGTGTCCACTTGTTTTGATTCAAAGCATAGAATTGATGGGAATTATGGATGTATTTTTTAGATGTACTTTATTCAGTAATCTTAAAGGCCAAACCAGACCAAGTTACAGGTCAGATCTGTGGAGAATGCCTTTTTTTCTCTGAATGTTTGAACTATAAAACCAGCTGTAATTTAATAAATGTAAGATAGAGCTGTTTAATGTCATACTGCGGAACATTCCAGGCAAACAGGTGACAGACCCCCATCAAAATATTGCATAGTGCGCCTTTAAAATGGTGGGTGTATTCAATTAGATGAATTAATCAGTGCCTATAATAGTTTTAAACTGACAAGCACAATAACATGACCACAGATGAGACAAGGCACGTAGGTGGAGGAATTACTACTGGAATTACAAAAGGTTAATTGAACATTCTAAGGTCATTTTATTTGCAAGATTAAAAGAAATGTCCTAAATTGCCTGCTCAGAATTAGCTAATTTTGTCATTGGGAGGATGAGAAGGAGTTGTGCAAAGTCACCGTACGACATTATAAATATATTCACTCGTCCACTCCTGCTTTGAATATAAAGAAGCAAAACAAGGTCAGTGAAAGCTAAGAGTAAATAAGAAGCAATGGCAGACCAATATGAGGATGTGTCTTGGGTTTAGACCATTATGGATACTTTGTCTAGGTGATGGTGCTCAAATTGCTATGCTGTAAATTATTTTGTGCATATCCAAAGCAGGGATGTCGATCCAGGAAAATTTGCAGTAGCGGCCGGGTCGATATCCTACTTGGACACTTTACTGACTGATCTAGGCCCAGGACAACTGATGATGCTTGAACTTTAATTCAAACAAAGCTGTTCACTAGTTACTTGCAAGATACATAAGTTACATAACAGATTCAGATAAATTTTAACTGTATTTTGAGAGGGAAAAAATGCCACCTTTATGTTAAATACCATACATTCACAAGTCACTTTAAATATATTTTGTTTGGTTAAACCCATTCATTTCAGTTACATATTTGTACATCCATTCACTACTCTGAATCACCACATGGTCCAAACAAAGAGGGGGGGTGTGGCCACTGTTGGTCATTTTTAAAGCCTC